CTGCCATCTGCAAAATGTTTACGTTGAAAATACATTCCAGCTGCTTAAATCTCATGAATTTGTGCATATGCAAAGCGATCTGCGTGTTGTCTCGGCCGGGATCGGGGGATTTCAGCGATTTGTTACTCTGGGGTTGTGGGGGGATTAAAAAAACAAGTCTACCGAACCCAGGCCGGGCAGATGTCAGTCTCCCCGACAGACGAAATGGGAGGGGGGTTTTATTATTTTATAAAAGTGCAAATTACATCAACTTTTTTTTTTTATTGTTTGGTTTTCTTTTTCAATTGCTTAAAAATAGTTTGTGGCCGAATCCAATAATATGGAATTCTAGATGGAGGTAAAACAAACAATAAATATTGTGATAATAAATCTAAAGGGACCAATGAATTTCGTTCCTGTCCCTGAAGATGGGGGGCTGTGTTGATCTGGTAGGATGAGGATCTGCTCAAGTCTTCCAGTGCTCTGAAAAATCTTGACGGTGGACAAGAAGAAAAACAGAAGAAAGGCAAGAAATCTACTCGCCTGTGTGAAGAAAAATAAAAAGTAGACAATCTGAGTGTGTGGATTACTCGGGACCCCCGTCCAGCTGTTAGCATGATGTCATACCTCAAACAGCCCCCCTATAGTATGAATGGATTGGGGCTCACGGGACCCGGAATGGATCTGCTGCACCCATCTGTGGGATACCCAGGTAAGAACCCCTTTGTACATGCCCTCCCTAGGCCTTACTCCTGCTGAATTATTGTCATTTTACCAAATTAATTTCTGACACTTTTTATGTTTGCATTACATTTTATTGTAACTTTTTTTTGTTTGTTCCGGGATATGTCTGTACATAGCATGGGGCATATTGTTCAATAAATAATCTGCCTATATTATTATTTTTATCTTCTACAACCAGTATAGAGAATAATATTTTGATAATGTTTATGGATCACACGGTTTAAAATAGATGATGATAGAAATAAGTGACAGAACCAGCAGAGGTCCCATAGAGATGAATGGGAGATGTGACAACGAATAGCCCTAATATTGTAGTTGGAATGCTTTTTGACGGGATAGTAAAGTTTGCGTTACTTGCCAGAGGCAGCAAAATAATCAAATTCTAGTAAAATCCTAAACAGCCCATTCCAGAGCCGTATGTGTTATTATATAGGGTGAAGGCTGAGAGGAGCCCAGCGGTGTGAAGTCAGCTTAATCCCTTCACCTCATCACAGATGAGCTCACGTGAGCAAATCTACTACCAGAAGGAAGGGCCTAGCTCCCTCCAACACCGACATCAGGAGGCTCCTCTCTGTGCGGCCATCTTTACACTCTGCAAACTTTTATTACCAAGTTACAGAGCGCCGCGTTTAATGCAAACTTCCATGTATTTGTAGTAAATGGACAGCAAGGCGTATTATTTTAGAGATGTACATGACCAAGAAATAATGTGATCCTCATGGTGGTCAGAGCCACATTGTATTGTAGTAATTAATACATTTGTCTGCGAGACTAATATTATGGTGGTAGAGTAGTTCTATTTCTGCTCCCGGATTCAGAACTCAGGAAACATGTCACCAATAATTCCTAGATCGCCCTGTCCCCCATATACATTAGTCTTTTATTTCTACTATCAAATATTTCACCTGCTGAGAAGTTTTGAGGAACTTTAAAAATACAGCAATGTCCTGAATTAATTTATACAGCGATTCATTGATGTATTTATTCTGAACCAATAACCTGGAATTGTCATTATAGGCGCTGGAGGATTCTTATTATTTGACGCTGAAAAATAAAATCCCAGCGCCTGGCTCTATACATTAGACACACAGCGAATCTACATCGCTGCTGTATAATAATAATAATAATATTATATGGCTCTGTAGTATAGTAAAATCACTGACACAATATCTCGGGGATGTAGATTGGTTTGACATCTTCTTTAAGAACACAATACATATATAATTAGAAATAAACAAAGCTATGTGTGTAAAATATATATATAATTCTCTATCTATCATTTCATCTTCTACACTGAACAGGTTGTAACTTAGTTTATAAAGTCTCCTTTTCCCTGACTATATTCCACACTTGTATACTTCCTTCGGTCCTACTAGGAATCCGCATAATGCTCGGATGTGATGACATATAAATGAGGGGAAGCCAACAGTTTAAAGTCCTTAATTAAAAATAAAAAGTACTTTGGTGTAAAATTATATGTAATAAAATGTACTTTCATGACTAATCCTATAAAATGTGTTTTAGCAGAAATATAAATGATCTTCTGTGTTTTTATGTTCTATTTAGTAGAAATATTAATTATCTTGTGTGTGGTTTTTTATATTTGATGTAGTATGTAACATATATTTAAATGTATGTCCTAATTCTAGATCGGGGCTTCTCAACTTTAACTCGAGGTCTCCTTCTGTCAGGCACCCCTTAGTGTGGTTTTTATTTGTCACCAGCCCCCCTACTTGTGTTAAAACCTAATGGATTATTTGTGAAACCTTTCTAAATCTCTAGCGATGTTAATATCTTATTTTGTTATTTGCTAAACTTCGGATTCATATATTTAAGTGTGTCTTGGGGTGCGGGTCCGCCGGTTGAGAACTCCTCATCTAGGAGCCTGTGTATATTATGTGGGTGCAGTGACTGATGGCTGTCCCCCCTGTGTCCCCACAGCCACCCCTCGGAAGCAGCGCCGGGAGCGCACCACCTTCACGCGCTCGCAGTTGGACATTTTGGAGGCGCTGTTCGCCAAGACGCGTTACCCCGACATCTTCATGCGGGAGGAGGTGGCGCTGAAGATCAACTTGCCGGAGTCCCGCGTTCAGGTGCGCTCAGCAATAGCCATCATGAGCCCCTTCTTCACCCTGTCCTGTCATGCCTCTTTATATTTCTCTCTCTGGCTGCCTCTGATCATTTCACTCATTTCATTTATTTCCAACTTTTAGGAGTTCTGCTATACATACTTGTTCCTCCACTGCAGAATCGAACCTCTTTTGGAGCAATGTTTATATCTCCTGTGTAATGGGCTCATTTGGGATCTCAAATTAATTTAGGAGTTATTTTCTATGGATGAAGAAGGCTGGGAACCCTGTAACCTGAGCATAGGTGTTGATTTATGATCTGTAGGACCTGCAAAGCTTTAAAAGGTCTTTTGGTGTAAAGCTTGCAGTGCCATCCTGGACTGCTCATCTGTGCTAAGGGTGCCACTTGGTTTCTCTAGGTGAGGCACAGGCTGGCTCCAGAAAGTCTGAGGGACAACCGAAGAGTGGGGCACACAAGCAGTGTCTAATCTAGGGGCCTCCTTGTCAGGGTATCCTAAAGCATGGCCTGGTACCACACAAGTGCAAACATGTAGATCACAAGCTGGCAGAGCACATGGGTTCTAGATGCAGACAAGTTGATATGAAAACGGTGTGGTGCCCTCTGCAGGAGGTGAAGTGTAGCTGAGGCCTTCATGGATCATAATTAATGGGGCTTGGTCCACTTGCCAAGCTGGAGATTATTGAGGTCAGTCTCTGGGAACCTAATAGAGCCACAGGTCGTAGAGTATACTAACTTAATATGGTGCCCTAACCTGATGTAAATATGGAGACTTTCCCTGTGAAAATATTGGTAGGTTATTGATTGATCAGGTTGTAGGTGTGTTTGTGGGTGTATATGAAACTTCAATACATAAAATTGGACATAAAATTAATTTGGTTCCCAGTCTGCAGTGTGGATGGTGGTAGATGCTCCATTCCTTGGTACCCATCTGACTGGCTCTTGACTTTGTTTTAAAAAGTTGGGTTTTCTAAGAATGTAGCTTTTTTTTTTTTTTTTTTTTTTCCTACACAAAATGGATAAAAACTACTTATTAGTATATTGAGGGCTTGGAGTTTGAATTTCACTAAATCAGGGATTATTGGGTATAGAAAACATTTCTAGAATTCTAATGGTAGAACTATTTGAATTCCTAAATATGATCTATGATTTGATTTTAGTTCCTGAACCCAGAGGTAATGTTTTTATGCAAACTGGATAATCTTCTAAACTAGAACACTTAAGTTTTGTTGTCTGTGCCCATCTGGTTTAAAAAGATTCCTTGGAGTGCCTAAGGACCCATAGTGTGTGTGTGTGTGTGTGTGTGTGTGTGTGTGTGTGTGTGTGTGTGTGTGTGTGTGTGTGTGTGTGTGTGTGTGTAAA